GCATTAACTGGGGGAGGGGTCAGAGGGAGGGTGCAGGGGCATTAACTGGGGGAGGGGTCAGAGGGAGGGTGCAGTGGCATTAACCAGAGGAGGGGTCAGAGGGGAGGGGGCATTAACTGGGGGAGGGGCCAGAGGGGAGGGGTCAGGGGCATTAACCACAGGAGGGGTCAGAGGGGAGGGTGCAGGGGCATTAACTGGGGGACGGGTCAGAGGGGAGGGGTCAGGGGGCATTAACCAGAGAAGGGGTTGGAGGGGAGGGGTCAGAGGTAATTTACTGGCAGAGGGGTCGGACGGAAGGGGTTGGGGCAGTAACCGGGGGAGATGTCGGAGGGGAGGGGTTGGAGGGCATTAATTGAGGGAGGGGTCGGGGACATTATTCTGTTAGGGCAGGAAGGGGACATTACCTGGAGAGGGAGTCGGGGGCACTAACCGCGGGGGGGGTCGGAGGTTATGAGCCAGGGCAGGGATCTGGGGGCAGTCTGCGTTTGGGGCAGTACCCAGGTGGCAGGCAGCAGAACCATTAAGCTTGAAGTCAGGGGGTGGTTCCAAGGCTGTTTCCCTGTGGATTTGGGGGCAGAGGCGGGTCGCTCAGGAACGAGCGGCTGGGGTAGATACGGGCGGCTGGAGGAAAAGGCATTTCTTACCCCGGGGGGATGTGCGTTCATCAGTAGGTGGCACTCTAGTCCCCAGCATTTTCAACCCTGGTGTCAAGACAGGAGAACGATGGAGAGCCAGACTTATAGAATGATCCAATAATAATTAGCGTTCAGTGACTCAGGACTCCTGGGTTCTATTCCCAGCTCTGTCACTGACATACTGGGTGCCCTAGAGCATGTCCCTCACCTCTCTGTGCCTCAGTTTCCCCTCCCACCCTTTGTCTCTTTAGCTTGTAAGTTCTTGGGGGGCAGGGACTGTCTCTTACCCTGTAGCACCCATCCCAATGGGTTCCCCATCTCTGTTGGCCTAGAATACACATAATAGGAGTCAATACATTCATAATAATTCAGATTGATATTTAAAAGGTAAAATGTGGGTTAACACGGGGAGTGGAGGGGTTGGTTAAAAACCAGCTTTTCAGAACCTAAGCCTCAGCAGAAATTGTTCCCATTATATTATTGTTTATTTGTATCACTGTCGTGCCTAGGAATCTCTGGCACTGAACAAACACACAACAAACACATGGGCCTTGCCCCAAAGGACTCTCAATGTAAGAGACAGCAGGTGGAGACAGACAGACAGACAGGAGAGTACAAGGAAACAGACCACAGTGGTCTGAGTGACGATCGGTGGTCCCAGCACACCAGCGGCCTAATTGTTGCCAGGTTTAATTTTAATCACCAAACTTCTCCAGTTTCTTTTTGTAAACAAGTAACCTTTCTCCCCCCATTGGCAGTGCAGCTCAGCTGCCCCCTCGTGGGAGAACCCCGAGACAAAAGGTCTCTACCAAGCAAAGAGAAATGCAAACAACAGACAAACCACCACCTCTTCCCCAGGTTAAAAAAAAAATGGCTTGAAGAAAGGTGAGGATTGGGGGTGGGGGAAGAAATTAGATTTTTAATTTGTAACAATCTAGCGTGTTAATCGCCCATAACCATCCCTAGCTTGTATGTCATGCTGTACAAAAGCACTCTCACTATACCTGAAACGCTCATTATCCCATTTTACAGATGGGGAATCCGAGGCTCAAGAGAGGGAAAGTAACTTGCCCCAGGGCACCTGGCAAGCCAGAGCCAGGAATAAAACCCAGGTGTCCTGACTCCCAGGGCAGGGTTCTATCCACTAGGCAACACTGCCTCCCTATCTTTCACCAGCTCCTGTGATGATTATATAGGGGGCTTGATTATCATTTCCCTTATGCTGGGTTTACACCAGTGTAACTTGACTGCAGTGGAGTCACTCCTGAGCTACACCAGTGTAATTTAGGGTAGAATCGAACTTGCTTTTTTTAACCCAACATTGACCCTAAAAAGTTTCTCTTTATAAAATATCCTTTGCACCCCAAACCAGGGGTGGAACCCCATTTGTAAATTCTTTGGGGGGCAGGGACCATCTTTTTGTTGTGTATTTGTACAGCACCTAGCGCAGTGGGGTTCCGGTACATGCCTGGGGCTCCTTGGTGCTACCATAATACACCTAATAGCCAATGGGTCCTGGTCCATGCCTAGAGCTCCCAGGAGCTACCATAATACACCTAATAAGAATAACAGGAATCCCCTTTGCTAGAGGGAGTTAGTTTAAAAATCTGCCTTTGAAATAAGGCAAAATGAGCAACCCTGGGGATGGTGACTCTGCCTGGGCCTCATCCAGTGGCCACTGAGGTCAATGGAAAGTTTCCCCTGAATTTGAATAGGCTTCGGATCCTGCCCCACGTCTGTGTCTAACCTTCCTACCGTCTCATAGTACCTGGGTGACAGTTTTGCTCTCTTCTCTCGAGCAAGTTGGTTCACCCCATTTTCCCCCTCTGTTGTGACCCGGGTGGCATAATTCATTACTATGTATAGCTTCTAAGGCCAGGAGTCGGACCTCCTGCATAGCCCAGGGCATAGGACGGCCCTGGATTAATTCCTCTTTGAACTAGAGCCGATCCTTTAGAAAAACAGCCAGTCTTGATTTCAAAATGGCCAGGGATGGAGAATCCGCCTTGACCCTTGGTAAGTTGTTCCACTGGCTAATTGCCTTTCCTGTTAAAAATGTGCCCCTTCTTTCTCTATGAGGTGCTCAGCTGGAACGGTTGTCTACTAGCATTGTAATTCTTGTGTATATTCCAGAAGGGCGTATTCGCTCCGCCCAAGAGAAGAAGGGTTGCCCAAGCGTTAGGGCAAGAGCCTGGGACTTGGGAGACCTGAGTTTGAGTCTCTGCTCTACCACAGAGGCTCTGTGTGACCTTGGGGTCACTTAGGGCCAGATCCTCAAAGGGATTTAGGGGCCTTAACTCCTACTGAACTGAAATCCCTGTGAGGATCTGGGTCTTAGCCATGGCATGCCTTAGTTTCCCCATCTGTACAATGGGGTGTTGGGAGGATAAATCCATTAAAGATGGCAAGGAGCTCAGATGCAGTGGGGCAGGGCTCATATAAGTACCTTCGGTAGATAGATAAATAACCAGCCCTCCGGGCCCAATTGTGCTAGGAAGAGACAGTCTCTGCCCACAAGATTCACAGAGCTTATGGCCAGAAGGGACCCATTAGATCAAGAGTTAATCATCTAACTAGACAAGGGCAGGGAGGGGAATCAGAAGCCTGGAGAGGAGAAGCTACAGTACTTAGGCAAGGTCACCTGACAGGCCAGTGGCAGAGGTGAGACTCGATTGCACACCTCCCAAGTCTTCGTCTGCTAGGCCGCGCTGTCATTCTCTCTTCTCCTGCTCACAGGATGAACGTCGAAAATGGGCAACGTGCAGTCGGAAGCATCCCAAGACGTAGACCCCGCACAGGGCAAAGACAAGGAAGGCAAGCCAGGAGCGGACGACGGGTGCTTGGCTGGCAGGCCGAGCGGGGCCGGGAGCGAATCGGGAGCCCTCCCACCTCGTCCCGAAACCTTTGCAGCGAAAGAGCCTTCCCAGCCACGCAACAGAGAGCCAGGGAGAAGAGGAAAGCAGGCGGATTCCTCAGAGATGTGCAAGAGTTGCTCCAAGAAATCCAAACTCAAGCTGTCTTCCATGTGGGTTCAGAATTCCAGCAGCCTCAGCAGAGATCCAGGCCTTGGAGACAATGACTCCGCTCAGGAATTGGGGCGAGGGAAGGCAGGGGAAGCCGGATTGACCTGCCTAAGTGGTGATGCCAGCTTGGGCAAGGAGCCGAGCCCAGCACTGGCTATTCCAGGCACCCACCAAGGGGAACCCAAGGGCCAGAAGGCGACATCTGGGTCTCAAAACCCGCCCCCCGAGCAAGACTTGCTGAGGTCCAAAAAGACAGCACCCAAGGGGAAGAGCAAAGGGGAGACCGTTTCCATCATGAAGCAAGGAGGCCAGGGCGACCTTCCAGGCAAGAGTGCCGCTGCCCCAGTGCTGCTGGAGCGGGCACAGGAGATCGGCGCGCCCAAGGGCACGTCGGGACCAGAGGGCTGCAGCCAACCAGCCCTGACCAAGACACAGACACAGAGTTCAGTCCTGGACAGCCCTGCCCGTTCGGATGCTCCGAAGCCCAATGACGAGGGCGGGCCTAACGATGCAGCAGAAAGGAACCCGACCAGGACAGCTCCCCCAAGGCCCCTGGCCGTGTCAGGAGGGAAGAGACAGCCCCCGCCTCATGAGGAAGGCTCACCCGGCAGCCACGGCGACTCAAAGGCACCCACCAGTCCCTGCCAGTCGCCCACCGGCCAGGCCAAGACCCGGGGCAGCAGAGCAAAGGAGCCCCCGGGGAGTGAGGAGGATGGGGTGAATGCAGAGGGGGCACAGGCCCTCCTGGAACATGGCCTGAGCTTCCTGTACAAGGTCACCATCCAGCCTGGGCAGCGGCCGCCCAGTGTCAAGGCGATAAAGCAGCGGGCCGGCCTGATCTCCTCCGGCATCTCCTATGCCGACGCCCTGAAGCAGTGTCCCCAGAAGAAGGCCCCGTCCAGTGTCTCTGGGTCACCCAAGGTGGCTGAGAAGCTGCCGTCGCTCAAGGGGCTGGAAAGGAGAGATCAGGAGGATCTCAGCTCCTTGACCCAGGCCTTTTTGGAGCAGTTCCAGAAAATGGGCACTAAGGAGCAGGCCTCACCCGCCACCCAGCCCCAGAGCCAGGCCAAGCAGCAGCTGCATCTGGTCAAGATCCTGGATGACCTCACCTCCTTCAACTTCAGGAGCCTGGAGGGTCAGAAGCCCAGAGTGCCAACCCCGTACCCGCAGCGGCGCCAAGGCCAGGGCAGAAATAGCCCCAGGTTCGGATCAGACGTGTCTCGGCTGGTGTCCTTCTTGGGCAATGCCCCCAAGCTGGACGAGCTGAGGCAGGACGAGGGCCACCCGCAGCCCGTCAGGGCCTGGCTGGCTGACGATACTAGGAAGGACCCAGGTCCCAACAGAGAACCCCCCGGAGAACCCCCTCAACTTAGCCCTGCCTTCGTGGGGGAGCCGGAGCAGCTAACACAAGCTGGAGCGACCCAGCCGCGGAAGCCAGAGACACCGTCCCCAGAGGCAAATCCACCAGCGAGGGCTCCTGGTCTACCCACACCAGACTCGCCTGCCTTGCCTTCGGCAGAGGCTGCAGTTGCCAGCACAGTCCAGCCTGGCAAAGGGGAGGACCAACCCATGGCCTTGCCTGGGCAGGAGGCCATTCCTCCCACCCCTGCCCCTCCGGTGCCGACGTGCCCCGCGGGAGCTCAGCGCCAGGCAGTGTTGGAGCAGAGCAGCGCCTCCAAAGGGGCGCCAGGCCACGTCAGGACGAAGGCAAGGAAACAGGCCACGACTAAGCTGCAGTCCCGGTCCACGTGGCAGCCCAAGGTGGCAGCTAGCCCCACCCAGAAGCCGCAGGAGAAGCTCAAGGCCCACGGACAGCCGAAGGCCAAAGCGCAGAAGATCAAGTCGCAGAGGCAGGGGCGGGAAGCCCCGGAGCCACAGGTTGCCCCAGCTGAGCCCTGCCTGGACGCAGCCTCAGAGCAGGGTCCGGATGGCTCTCACGACAAGCCCCAGGCTGCCGCTCGCCACTGGCCACCGTTCCAGATCATGGATTCATGCCCCAGGAAGTGCTACTGCAAGCACCAGGATCAGAGGAAGCTGCCCAGGAACATCTCTGCGTGGTGAGTGGGCGTGGGGTCTGGATCCCAGACACCCCCAGCGCTCGGAGCCGGCTGCTCCCAGCCCTGCCTCCATAAGGAGGAGAGTCAGTGACTCGGGCCCCACATCCTCAAAGCCAAGGGGAGGCAGGGCCGGCTCCAGGGTTTTGGCCGCCCCATGCAGCCAAAAAAAAAAAGCCGCGATCACGATCTGCGGCGGCAATTCGGCGGAAGGTCCTTCGCTCCGAGCTGAATAGCTGAACGTGCCGCCCCTCTCCGGAGTGGCCGCCCCAAGCACCTGCTTGACAAGCTGGTGCCTGGAGCCGGCCCTGATGGGAAGTAGGTGCCTAAATACCTGAGGACCTGGGCCTTGGAGACTGGGGAACCCATAACCTCTAGATCCAGCCCAGGGGGGTCGTGGTTGAAAATCCCAGGTAAATAATTTCACACACTGAGATAGCTCTAGTTTTCAGCCACCATGGAGCTTGGCTGGACTTGAATAGGAGGATGGTCAGGGAGCCAGTCCCCCGAAGTTCTGGCACTGGTCACCGTCAGAGACAGGATGTGGAGCTAGATGGACCATTGGTCTGCCCCAGTATGGCCGTTCTTACGTTCTAAGGCTCACTAGCCCGTTAGCAATCCCTTCAAGCCACACGTTCGCAGAGAAGCAGCCTGGACTGGTGTACAATGTGCTAGCCGGACAAGCAGCCCCCCGATAGCTGGGGAGTGGAAATCTTGTCTTGCCTGTCTCTGGCACTCTGTTCCTGACGATACCACCCCGGCTTGATGGGGAGCGGGACCAGGCCTGCACCAGGAAGCTTTGCCGATAGAACTCGACCGGCAAACCCTCCTGCTGGAGAGGCAGCTCCCGCCGGCAAAAATGTGTGTTTGCCGACGTGGCTTGTGCCAGTGCCCCGAATGGAAAAAGCTGCCAGAGGTGGTGGAACTGGGGGTTGGGTGCCTGGGGACAGATCAGCGATGACTGAGTGCCCGCCCTATCCAAACCACTGCCCCTGCCTGTCCTCTCGTTTAACCCTTCAATGTAGGCTGACTCCCTCCGCCAACCACCTGGCTGAGCCGCCCTGGGTCTCCACTGCCATCCTGGCTGGATCACTGGTTGCCGGCACCAGGTTCTTCCTGGATTCATACGAGCAGCAGACAGGAGACGACGACTGAGAAACCCCCGTTTTCCCGTCAATAAACCACGTTGGGCCAGTTCTGTGGATTGGCTTCATTCACGCGCCCATCCGCGCCGGAGCAGCAGCAAGCTGGACAGATCTTGGGTGAATTCCCCCTCACGTGACTTTCCTACCCCAGAGACAGCCGGCCCGATTCTCAGCTACAGTGGCCCCCCTGGGCCGCTCCTGGCCATATAAAGCGGCCTTAAAGTGGGTGGAAACAGCCCCCTGGCAATCCTCACCCCTTATGATGCCATGTGGGGGGGACGATGACACAGAGGAACCCTGGCCTGGGGAAGGGCTGCACACAGAGGCCCTGGGGGGGCGGGGAGTGGACATGGGGGATACAGCCTGTGCCATGGGAAGATGGGGGCACACACAGCCCCTGGGGACATAGGGCTGTGCAGGGAGTCCTTGAAATAGAGGGGGAATGGAGGGTGGTGCCCAGGGGGCTTGTGGGGGGGATGGAGGGTTGGGAGGATCCCCAGGTGCATGCAATGCGCTCGGCTGACAGACACCACAAAGCGTGGGTCCCCCCAGTGGGAGATGCTGGAATATGAATTGAAGGTGCATTGGCAGAGCCGACCAGGCAGGAACGGCGTAACAGGGACGTTTTGGGGCCCAGGACTGGCGTAGCCAGGGCTGCGTGTTGGGAGCGGAAGCTTGCCCGGCTGCGCCCAGCTCTAGGTAAGGGCAAGCTCCAGTCTTGCTGTCCCCCGCCTACTAAAACCACCTCTCAGCCCAGCACAAGTTCCTGGATGGCCTAGGCAGGAGTTCCAGCTGTTCTCCACCCAGGAAGCCGCCCGCCCCAGCGGCAAGGAGGGAAAACGCAACGGCCCAGGGCCAACCTCCATGTTAAACATTCAGGCCTCATGTTGCAGTTTGGGTTACGATCTTGAAAAGGGCCTGAATTTTCAAAGCACGTGTCCACCCGGAGAGATTTCCCAGCACAAATATAGAAAAATAGTTCTTCTGCTATTGCTGTTCCCTCTCCAGTGCGGGCGCTGCTCCAGAATGAAAGCAGAGTAGTTACTCCAGACTAAGTGACTTTATTCCAGACTAACGGCCCAGCTCCCAGGGGCACTGTGCCCCGCTACCCCTACGATAGTTATACCGGGAGATTCTCCCCAGCTGTGAGGCTGTAATAAATACATTAGACTGTCAAGCGCTTTGAGAGCTACTGCTGAGAAGTGCTAGATACGAGCGAGGCATTATTATTTCGGTTCTCAGTCTCAGGCCAGCCAGCTGCGGCCGCTAGGACCCCGCCGTGCTAGTACAAACACAGACCAAGGAGAAACGCCCCACCCTGAATGAACTTACCTCATGTTTCACATTTTCAGTCTTAAAGGTCACTGAAAAATGTGTGTGGGGGGGAGGGAAAGTTGAAGTTTTTCTTTGCAGCATCGTGCAACAGCTTCAGGGGAGCGGGAAGCAGTTCTCCGGTGCAGTCACTGACACCCGTGCAAAAAGCGTGACTTCTGACCACATAGCATTTCACACCCGCTTTGCCAGGTCCATGCTGTGAAAATCCTGCTAACCTCTGGGCCTCGCTACTTCCACATAGCGGTGAGTTCCAAAGTTTAGCTAAACATTTGCATTGCTCCGTTCAGTGAAGTTTCTGCCTCAGCAGGACGCCCGACTTTTAACGGCTGCAATTTGTGTTTGCTCCGTCGCAGTCACAGACGGCAGTACCTGAGTGACAGAGGCGCCCGTGCAAAGGTGCTTTAGAGAGACAGGGAGCTAATAAACGAAAGGTCCTTCGAAACTGCCCTCACAGGGAAGCAGGAGGATGGCTGGTTTGTTCCCCTTCTGTTAACGATGATGACAGCTCACAATCCTCTTCAGACTCAAGGTGAAATTCAGTCGTGGAGGAACCAGCTTTTGCCTGGGCAAGGTGCGCACCTGGGGACGGCTCCTGTGGCGTCTGGCCTTCACCCCAGTGTATGCCGGCTGGATGCAGCCCTGTACAGCCTCCCCCGGGGAGCTCTGCAGCTGGACACGGCAGCCCCTACACGCACCAAGGCTGTAATCTGATGCATGCAGCCTTCCCCTTGCGGGGTATTACCACCCTCCCTCAGAACAATTAAGACAACTGCCCGTTGAGTTTGTATTTGATACTGAATTCCAAGGGAAGACAGAGGCCTGTGGCTTGGTACCAAACCCACTCCCTTCGGTCTAGTCATGTGAAAAACAGAGAAAGGTGACCCAGCAAAGGGGCCCCTGCTGAAACTCGTGTGTTTTAACGAGGAGGGGGCAAGGTAAGGTCTGGTATTCCTGATGGGAATGTTTTGGGCAGAGCCAGGCTGCCAAACTGTTAAGGAAGCCAGCCAGGACTGCTGGGGGGGTTAGGTTTTAACTCTAGAAGATTTTACAAACACAAATATTTCCAATATTTACTTTATTTTTAAGTCCGACAAAAAAACTCCTCCAGTCTGTCTGGCTATAAACATGCCCCTGTGTTAGCTGTAGCCAAAGCATGCAGCCTTGGAGAACCCAGAGAAAGGGCTTAGCTGTCTACAGTACTTACATGGTCCCTGTCACTGTAGTACCGGAGCCCCGCACCACCCCTGAGGCAGGGCAGAGCTGTGATCTCCCTTTTAGAGGGGGAATTGAGGCCCAGCACCTCAAAAGGTGTATTTAGGTGAAGTGGCCAAGGTCACAGAGGGATTCTGTGGCACAGCAGGGAATGAACCTGGGTCTTCCAAGTCCCAGCCAAGCACCTTAACCCCCAGACCATCCTTCCTCTACAGTCTCATTTCATTGCCCAGAGAAACAAGATCAAACAGGGAGCAGCAGAGATTTCCAGCTGACCTTTCACAGCCACCTAAAGTGTTAGATGTCTGCTTCCCAGTCACGTTAACTGGGTGCCCGACTCTCTTCAACCTTAACGTTATGCAGTGTTAAGCTCAGGGGGTTCCGTACCACCACAACCGAGGAAATGCATTTGTACAAGAAACGATCGTTTTATTTAAACTGACACAGTCCCTTTAAATGACTCAACAACTGGAGCAGGGAATACGAAGCAAAACACTTTAATGATGGCTCTTGGGGGCTGCTTAACCATTTGTTGACTAGAATCTGACGTGCCCCCGCTACCCTGCTCGACAGAGGCGCGTAGAGTAGAGGCCATCACCCGTACCACAGCATCCAGAACACGGCTGTTAATGGCTGTGGGCTGGAAAGTGGGTCCACCACATGGAGAAGAGTTTGGGTTTAGAAGGGTTTTAAAAAGGGTCTTGCCCTCCACCCATGCTGCTGAACGAGAGAAGCCCAGAGCAGTGTGACCCTTTAGGGCCCTCCCTGCTTATGGGACATTTCTGCATAAAGGAACGAGGCAGCCTGGCTGCTCACACTTTGAAACTGTGCTGTCCTGGAGAAACCTTTTAAATAGTTTTAAAAACGGACAGGTTGATGGGAACCAGGAGTAAGACACTAAAATAACAAGGGGACCAGGGCGGGGGGTGGTGGTGGGGAAAGAGTCCTGGCGGAGCTCAGCTAGACGATCATTTCTAGCTGCCTGGCGTATTCAATGACTTGTTTAGCTAACTCTGTCGACGGGATGGTGGTGTCTTCGGGTTTCTGCTGCTGGCAGCTGAAGCTGTAGTAGTTGTGTGGACCCAGAACCCAACCGCGCTAAAATAAAGGGAAAACACATTTTATTCGAATTTTAGGAGTTTCAAGCCCTCTCCTGATTTATGGGTTTCAAGGCTGTGCGTTATTTCCTCTTTACAGAGTGGCTTGAAACCCTTCCACCTTCCTGGAGGCGAAGGCTGGAATCCCAGCCAGTTCAACCCTTCCAGATAAGATCTGAAATCCCCATGGTGTAACCTAAGAACCACCGCGTAGTCTGGCTGGACTACATCTCCCATGATACACCACAGCCAGGTACTCCTGCAATTCACCACTCCTTACCAAGAGGGAAGAAGGTGGTGCATCATGGGAGATGTAGTCCAACCAGTAAGCCTGGCCCACAGAGGAGGCAGGGAGCAAAAGACAGGCAAACTACAACTCCCATGAGGCACTGCGACACTGGTTTTGAATAGAGGGTTTTGGCCCAAGTGTTTTGTGGGGAAAAACAAACAGCCCTGTATTCCCACCAGCTCTAGTGGCTAACCATCCTGCCGATATACGAGCCAGGCTCGAATCTGGCTCAGCCTGCCAGAGCTGTGGCAGCTTTGAAGGACTAGCAGGAATAAAGAGTAGCAGAAATGGACTTGTCAACAAAGCCAGTAGGTCGGACTCTGCTGCCCACACGGCCACAGGTCAGCTGACAGTGGGGTTCTCTTCAGTGACAGCAGCTCACACACCTTCTTGGCGTATTCCGTCATTTTCTTGGGGGTGTTGAAGAACAGAACCCTGGTGGCTTCGTTGAAGAGGATTTTCTCATAAGCCTTCTCAATGCAGCCAGCGATTTCATCCCTGACACCAGAGGGAAACAAGGTGGTTAGACCTCTGCCTTCGAAAACAGCACGAGACATACAGCAGCAACAGAACTCAACGGGCTGGAAGGCTGGATTTCTACAGGCAGGGAGGAAGGCGGCTAGGCCAAGAGGCTCACACACATGGGGTGATTTGGAGAGCCCAACTTGAGACAAGGAAGGATGGCCCAGTGGTTAGGGGATTAGCCTGGGACTCAGGAAACTGGCGTTCAATTCCTTTGAGTCAGAGTCATAGGGTTTAAGGCCAGACGAGACCACTAGATCAGCTGGTCTGACCTGTCTGGCACAGGCCATCAGCCCCACCCAGCACCAGCAGGCTAACATGAGACCAAAGTATCTCAGCCCATAGAAGACTAGACTATTGTATGCCAGAGGAGGGCACCAGTGCCCAAGGCCCCTGCAATGGCAGTGAAGTGACTGAGATAGACCCAGATAAACCAGGCCAGGAACCCACACCAGAGAGAGGGGAAAAAAATCCCTTCCTGACCCGGTGTCTGGCCGAAACACAAGCCACAGACTTGCTGTGTGAACTCGATCACTCAGTGCCTCAGTTTCCCCATTTGTAACAACGGGATAACAGCCCTGCCAGAAGGGGGGAT